AACCGTACAGTAAGGGACGTACTGTCTGCCATGGTCCAAATAAAGGAGCGTTTTCTTCATTGAAAAATCTTTCAAAAATTAGTGAAAAATCAAAAATCTTGTCTTACAATCATACAAGTAACCCATTACAATGAAAGAATTCATTGAACCTCACTATTTATTTCATTACRACTTTGGTGAGACCCATTCACTGGTTCCTTTCTCCCGCATTCCAGACACAGCAACAATGAAAGCATAGCTGAATCGGAAGGAATTTGAATGTGACGCAACAAACGGACAACACTACACTACACAAAACAAATCAAAATAGACAACACAACAAAGTATCACCATCCACAAGACGTGACAATACACCATCACATYGATTGACACACCGYTGTCAACTTTTGACATTTTTCCTATTCTCTAGAAAATTTTGAGCGGACCTTTGCCAGCCCTTTCSCAACTTCCAAAAGACGGATTTGCATTTTCGTGACACTTGCACTCAATTATTCCACTCAATACACTCTTTTGCCAATCCATCTCTGCAAAAACCTTGTTTTGATTGTTCCACACAACATGCACACTGCACTTAWAAGTTTTTAACTATGGCCTCAAATTTGACTGACGTCCAGAATCCATCAATTGCTGATAATCAACCCTGGCACTGYGATCTGGTTATCAATGTGTCAAACTTGGATGCCGGACAAGAAACAACACGCCCGATGCAAAATATACCAGGTCCCTACCTTGTCAATCTTTCTAGATATTTCATAGATGGGAAGGAATTTGAATTTCCTCYATATTTCACAGGCTTAAAGTTTGAATYGATCTTAATCACGTCTCTAAAAATGGCAAGCGCCAAAGCAGGTTTCGTTTTGGTYGTCAAAAAGAATTCAAAAAGCAAARCGGTGATGGCCAAGACAGGTACATTCCAATTCTATACTACGTTATGTTGTCAGCAGCATCGATTGTACGAGAAAAGCAAAAATAATAAAGGAGAGAGAAAGAGGACCACTTCAAGACCAACTTCTTCTGAGAACTGTTGCAACTATGAGTTCAATCTTCGGATGAATGCTATGGATAGTCAATTCAATCCTGGTCGATGGACAATTTCGCCATCTAGAGGTAAAGACAATGGTGTACATTCATCTACAATCTTTTTTCACCATAGTAAACTTGCGCAGTCTTATTTTATTTYGCATTTCTCTCTGAAGGCAACGTGGGGACACACAATGGACATCGGCAAATGAAACCTGAGGAGCGTCAAGATTTGATTAGTGGTATATGAGCAGCAGGAAATGATGCTGTCGCACAATGTAACCAGCTATCATTCATAGATCCAATTGCTGAAATGGATGAAGTGTATCAGCAACGTATAATCTCTATGACCCATGAAGGACTTCACTTAGTTGGGAATGACAACGACTTACGTAAACATTACGAAGATAAGTTGCAGGAACTTATAAATAATTTGCAGCAGATGGCATCAGACAAACAGAAAGACCAAAGAGGTAACCACTGCAGAATACAACCAGTGGTCGGAACAGGGGTGTCAAAACAAAGGGGAAAAAGGAAAAGAATTGATATTTGAATACACATTGAATCGTTGCTGCCCGGCATATCTACTGTCATTATGCATTCTCAATGTAACTCAGTGTTTGCGAAACTTATTTTCGTAAACTCCAACAAATTCCCTATGATCAGCTAGATCGGACTGGATCAACAACCACTTGTGGCAAACCAACTGGGATTTTTTTAACGTCCCGAATGCGGTACAATGCATTGTATTGTSTTTCCTTGGTACTACTAACGCATCGGAAAAATTGTAACGATAATTCTTGTCCCCTTTCTTGACATGAAGCGATTGAAACAAGCTTGTAAATGCTGTTCRTATCATATTCTATACTACGCTTAATTACAATTACARTTACTACTAGTCAATTGTGWAACTAAGTTTCCAATATCTCCTTTGAAGGGCTTTCTTTTCTGTGAGGTGTGTTCTTTTAACTTCCAAGCTAATYAGTGCCTTCAACTTCTAACCCACTGATTACAAGGATTTGAAAATGCTGYGAATAATGAATTGGAACAATGTTGTTCCATTCAGACTCCTATTGCCAGGATGTTGAAAATGTTGCATAGACATTGCTGAACTTGGGCATCGCCTTTGCGAGATGCGGTTTATCGACCGTGCAGTCCTCCACCACTTTTCAAAAAGACCTTGTTTTGATTCGCTCGAAGAACGGATCTTTTGTAAGGCAGTTATAATATGCGAATACTGCAGAGCGACAATATCATCATTTAGTATTTTGATTTTCTTGAGAAAAGAGCCAGAATACTGTATGACATCTTAAAATGGTTGATAAACCCCAATCAATACAAAGAACAGATACAGTTATTTGTAGTATCGAGTTACTCGTGCGATGTACAGTTAAGTACGTCTAAACGGCCATAGTGATAGTAGATTTTATCCTCCCGCGTTGGCTTCCAATTTTTCTTGAGCTCGTTCCTCTTGTAGTTTTTTCGCTAATTTTTTCTGGTAACGTTGATGAACTGACCATAAATTTGATAGCTCACCATCGTCGAGTTTCATTATTTCGGTCAAAATATTCTGTCGACGGGTGGCCGAGTCTTTTAAGTTTTCGCGTAAAGACAGCGAGGGATTTCTCCCATTTAGCTTTTTTTTGCTCGTCATTTTTGAAGTACGCTTCGCGATCTTTTTGGCCATCTTGAGAATGGCCTTGTCAACTGCCTTGATACGACGAAATGGGTTCATCTCTTTCTTCACATTCAATGCGATTTCGAGAGCAGAAGTGTCTTCTAGACAGAGTAAGATGTGCATGCGTGCATGCTCAGGTATTGACGCGATTTGAGGCAAAGAAAGGCACCCTTTATGCAATCTCGGTGGTTCTTTCGATCCGTAAGAAAAGTCAAGCTTTCCTAGCACGGACTCGATTGAAAATCCGGCAAGTGAAGACCGTTCTCCAGAAAAACGAGTCAATGGCATTTTGGTCTGAATGAGAGGAGGAAGAGATATGCTGCCACTATCAACTTGAATGGTATATGCCATCAAAAACCTYGGTCTCGCCCGTTCTGTTTCTGCAGCTGATTCTTCTATTTCGACATCTGTGTTGCTTTGAGTATTGCCAGCTTCGGTTGCTTCGTTGTGTTCCTTTTCAGATGTTTTCCCCTCTGAATTCGATAGATTTTTCATTATTTCACTGATAATTAGCCTGATATCGTTCCTGATTCCCCAAGAAGAATCGACAGTAGTCAATCCCAGCCTCAAGTGAATAAGTGATTTTGACACTGCATCTGGATTTGACTCCTTACTTGATGGAGTGGATATGAATCGAAATTGTAGACCATGGCCCTCGCGGCTTTTGTAAGCCAGACTTTCAAGGGGAGGTGGGATATCTAGGAGAGCGCATGCAGTTGATGGCCAAGGCGCTTTGTTCTGCGTATGATCATCAAGCATTGACGACAACGAGGTTTGAGAGTCACCTCGCCGCATATCACTCGACAGTTGATGTGCACCAAGAGACATAATATTCTTCCGGCCAATTCCGCGATACTCGTCCCACTTCAACCATCCAACATCAAATCTGAGGTCGGAAAAGCATTTCTCAGACGCAGCCAAAGACTGTCGATCGATAGTTAAGCAATTCATATCAATCTGCCAGTAGCAAAAGGAGAGATTTCTATCATTCTGGTCTTCACCCATTACGTGTACGCGGATTGTTGTTTTGGCAAAATATATTCCCATTACAGAAATGCTTTCAGGTTGCATGTAGCTTTCGAAAGAATCCACTGGTGTGTCTTCCTCCTGGATAGTTTCTTCTGCTTTCCCGTACAGTAGGCCTGAAAAGAATCCTGTGGATGCCGCCGTAGCCTGTGTCGTATCTTCTGCATTGGATGGCGTAATCATAGCCACCGTCTTAGTTTCTTTCTTTTCATCGCCATCGTTCGTGGTTACTGCRCYGGTTGATTTCGTAAATAGCGACTTTATCAATCCTATTGATTCAATATTATTTCGGTCTACATTGATCTCCAAAGGATCGCGAATACCTATTTGTAAAACCAACCCTGGCATTGGTATGGATGAATCAAGAGGAGAAGCACGTTGTACATCAGATTTGGGTGGTGCTTCCCAACAGGAATCAGATGATTCAGATGGTAGACACTTGTTATCCTTGAGAGATGTCAGCTCCATTCCTCTAGAAACTCTATGGAATAAGCTTGGTACTTTGCAACTTTGAATTCCATTTGCATCAACACTATAAACGTCAACTCCTGGATGAATCGACGATTCGTGCATTTTTCCATCTTCGTTCCATGCACTTCCTAGCTTTTTCTTACGCGGTGTTTCCCCACGACTCATACGAGGCTCAGGAGGAGGCATGGGTTCGATGGGTGGAAGTGGCAGTTGTGGACCAGGAGCAATAGTATCCATGCCTGAACCAAACAGTATCAAAGAATCAATTTCGGAGTTTTCATCTTGTCCATCGACATAATCCCCATAGAACCACGAGTACCCAGCGTCCACACGCTTCGTTCCCATATGAATTCTCGCTTGGATGTCAACCCCTGAACATCTTAGTARATGGCTCTCGGTTGCAGATACCCAATGCTGGCGAGCCCAGAGAACTTGTGATGAAGCTGTGCTTTTCATCATGAATTTGGGCAACATAGAATGTGGAGTGAAAATTCGCACAGAAATGCCTGCAGATGGTCCCCGTCCCGTTCGAATTTGTCGTACTAGATACTCATTTTTTTGTTCTCCGTTTGAATCTACAACAGTCGAAGGGATTTTTAGAAGAGATGGTGGTTTCGTGGACATGGTGTCAGTAGATGAAGTTGACCTTTTACTATGGAGTGTTTCGTCAAGGTTGCTGCCGCCATTGTTCAAAATGTCCAAATCTTCTTCAGATGATGTGTGCTCCTGTTGGAAGTGTGAAAGTATGTCTTCTCCACTGGTAACTGATAAGAAATCGACTCCCACCTCTACCATCGTGTCTTTCGAGCTTTTTTGTGGCTTGGTGTATCCATCCAAATAGTTGTTGGTAGTAGTGTAACTACTAGTACTCGTAAAATTTTTAGTACTATTGTTTTCAGTTTCCTCTGATGTCGGCCTCATAGGTTCGTTTCTTACAATCATTCGCACGCACACATCTCGAATGAATAAATGTGGGATTGCGGATATGATTCTCGCAAGTCCGTTATCGGCTAATACTCTGTCATAGACGGTGTCACGTTTGGGCTCAGGCTGTGATTTAGTGGCATTTTTGTTGTCTTGCAAAGATGCATTATCGTTTCCATTTGCATCATCATTCTTTGCTGAATCCATCTTGCTATCAGTGGCATTGCCGTGAGACTGACGCTCCCCACTAGAGACATCATTTGCATCTTCATTTGTTCTGTCTTTATCCACAGTATCATCCTTAGGTATTATTGGAATGGCTTCTATTGTTATCATTGCATCTTCTAGCATAACATGAAGCTCTTTTCCAATCAACCGGACGTCAATCATACCGATACGGCCATCCTCTCCCAAGCACAGCCTGAGGGGGAGTTCGTATTCTTCCTCACAATCTTCCTCCTCATAGTAATATTCATACTCATCGACACCCCCCTCATTGTCATCAAAATTATTTGCAAAATGTTCATGTTTATCAAATGATTTTGCACCTATTGCTATCCTGTCAGACGGGAGAGATGAAGATGAGGAAGTGGTACTTGGTTGATGTTCCAAATTTGCGGTAGAAGAATTCCCCTCTGCGCTCTGATAAAGGTGTTGCTCGTTTCGCTGTTCCGTCCCTTGATGCAGTGAATGATCATTCAATTTGGTATCTCCTCCGGTTGCATTGTTAGTGGACGCATTCCGATTGTAAAAACATGCAAACAATCTTCTCGATTGTTGATCAGGAGTCGAAGGCCTCTGAATTCCATTCTCATCGTATTCCAGGTCCTCGTCTGTAATATAGTCCGTTTCCGATTTTGCGACGATATCGATAAGTTCTAAATCGTCTGTTGAAAGTGATCTGGATTGCCGAGTTGGAAACTTTCGTGCGTCGTCTTTTTCTRTTCGAGCATTGGCGTCACTGAGTTCGCTAGTAACATTTTGCGGTTCAATTGTTTCTCTCGCATTTGTATTTGGATGCGCACTTATATTCTTTCGTCTACTCAAATCTGAGTCTTCATTCAAAAGTTTCTGTCGTGAAGRCAATGATTCTTGGGTCGCTGTTTCTCCCATAGGAATTCGTCTTCGCCTGCGCCTGCGCCGTCGTTTGATGATTCGTTTCTTTTTAACGCCTCCGGGCATCTTTTCCATCAGTTGAACACCCTCTCTCAGGCGAACATTCTTGAGGCGAACACCCCATCCAGAGCCATCGTAAGAAGGCAATGTTACGCCCTCGACGTCAACGTCACTTAGATATTTGGTAAGAAAAGTCTGTAGCGTCTTCGAAAGCAGCGACATCGCCGCTGACTTCAAATAGGTCGACATGATGTCCTTCTCCCCTGGATTTAAGGCAAAGCGATGTCAGGCACTATCTTCGTTTCCTAATAGAATGGATTGCAACAAAATCCATTGAATTGTAATGAATGATCGAACCGTATCGATGATGATGTGATACGACTTATCTTATGAATGCTCCGGTCATCGTCCCTGAAAAATATCTGTCTCGAACAAATCTCAAAATGATCTTTCAACTTTCGAAACCGTCCGATGATATTTTCCCGTTTCAGAGCTTTTTTATTCTTCAATATTTATGATACGTACGGTACGGTAGCACTCGTACACAAGAGTTTGAAAACAGTATCGTTGATTTGGTAACGTAATATCGTACCTTACGTTCGAAGGTAGGGTACRTACGTACGGAATGTATTGGTAGAGTGACCGGACGGTACAGGGTACAGCTCGATGAACATGGATCCATCTTTCCTATCATAGTAATGTAAATAGACCCTCTTTGTCGCAAGTTTGTGGTACTGGTAGTACTATTATTGATGGTTGTGTTGAAGGCTGCTATACATCCACAAGCATTAGAAATCACAGCAACAATGACGAGGACTGTCATAAAAATACAAYAGAGTGTGCCAACAAGTAAATTACCAGACTCTTCGACGTAGAAAAACCAGCAACATGACTGTGATTTCTGGAATGCCAATAGCGCTGTTAGTAGTAGTTCTCTTTGGTTCCTWAGCTGGAAAGCCTTTTCTTTTCCTTCATGCCAACGCTGATGCTAATAACTGTGCCAATTCAAAATGTACCATCGCTACTTATCAGAGGGTAACACAAAGAATAGTTCTCTKCACCAGAAACACGAGCAGTACTACTGCCATTCACATTAGAGCAATAAGTACGCTGAAAAAAGGTAGAAACCGTTGCTTACGGGCATAATAAACCGCCATCGTTTTAACAGGTTTCAACTACTGTAGTTCGGATTTGAGTTCCAGACCCTTTCCGCAGACACAACTCAACGGTCCAGTGCCATAATTGACGGCTATTACCAACATTATCGACGCCCAGAAAACATGGTATAATACAACACGGTGTGCACGGTACTCCTTGGCCAAAGCCAAACCAACAGACACCAAACAGACACCAAATCGCGCTTGCTTCTTCGCTGCCCCTAGCATCGTTCCGTTTCTCCGCAACCGMGCTTTCCATCTCGGTGTTGCCCCGTGACAACGGCGCATCCACACACCCACACAACAAAGACACAGTCCGGGCAAACCCTGCGACACACTCCGTCCGTCTCTCCGTCCGTAAGTTCGTTCGTCGTTCACCGCGACTCTTAGACGACCGAAAAGAGCGCCAGGCAGGCCACCGCGAGGGCCAGGGAGAAACCGTGCGTTCGGGCCGCAGCGGGGGAGGACTCGGCGGACGAAGCGGTGGTAGAAGCGCCGGGTGCCTCGGTGGCGGCGGGGACGGGAGCCGCGGTGGGGGGGGCCACKGGGGCGTCGGTGGGGGCCTCCGTTGCGTTGGACGCCTCGGTGGCATTCGTTGCCTCCAGAGGGAGGGTGGCGTTTGTGGCATTCGAGTTGACGACGACCACCGGGGCGTCGGTGGAAACGTTGATGATGCCGTTCGTGGCGTCTGGCGTGGCGATCGAGGTGCCGGTAGCGGTGTCGGGGGTGGTTCCGGGGTCGGTGGGGGGCACCGTGCCGSCTTCCGAGACGAACACGGTGAGGAATTGTCCTGTGGGGAGGTGGCAGAACCGATGTGTGGGAAGGTGTGCACGGGAGGAACGTGATCCAAGGAGATCGAAAAACAGGAGACGGAGTGGGTGAGAGMAGGGTGTTGGTTGGCAGCCATGCGATTCAACACCGCACCATAGTGATGCGATGCGAWGCGACATCGTTGCGTGCGCTTCGGATTGCTGCCACTCGGGGCACCCTTGTAGTTCGCGGCGGTTGCTTCGTTTGTTCCGTCCAAGTGACTTCTCGCACAGAGGTCTGCCTCGCGRTTCTACTCACCGGCCATGCAGTGCGCCCCGTTGCCGACGTCGCACGAGAAAAACATTTCCGTTCCGGCGTCTGCCTCCGTAAAGGTGTACTCGGATCCCGGTTCCAGTCCCACCTCGATGGCTCCGGTCAGGTCGCAGTTCATGGTGGGGTGGATGTAGACGTTGTGGATGCCCTGTGCCCATCGGAAGATGATCGTGTTACCGACCTCGGCCTCGATCTGSCTGGGTCCGTTGTAGGGGACCACCCAGCGAAAGACGTTGATGATGCCGTCGGGCGTCGCGACCCCCGGCTGGGCGCCCGGCTGGGCGGTGGCGATCGCAGCCAGCTGTGCTAGCACGAGGAGGGCGAGGACGGAAGCRGTTCTGAGTGGTGATGGCGTCATGGTCTTGTAGTTTCTGTAGGCTCTCGTGACAATGTTTTTCGGGTGAGAGAAGATTTGGTGGWGGTGTTCCGATAGAGTCAACTTCGAGCGATGGAATCCGAGGTTTGTACCGTCACGTGTTGTACGATAAAGTAGGTACTACTCGTACTACTCGTTGTACCTTYACAAACTCGTTGGGAACGAATGATCCCGAAATGATTTTCGGAAGGTATGATGCAGTCTGCAGTCACATCATAATAATACTAGAAGTATTTTTAATCGCAGCATTGGGCGTSGTTGATTGCTGCTGTACAGTAGTAMMGTACTTTAGWACMG